GGCTCTCGGACAGTGAGCGAGCGAGGCTGGAGGTGGGCAACTTGACCTTCAAGTTCAGCTGTAAGGTCATCCGCCTCGCCGTAAAGTGGAACATCGCCGTGTATCTGGAGAATCCTGCGGGCTCCTTGATGTGGCACGCTCCCGAACTGGTCCGACTTCTGCGAGCGCCGTGCGTGCAGAAGATCCAGTTGCACATGTGCCAGTTCGGGGCGCCGTGGCGGAAGGCGACGTGTGTCGCCGCTTGGAACTCGTTGCCATTGTTAAATCTCAGTCTCCGCTGTTCGGGTCGCTCTGGCATGTGCTCTAAGTCGCACAAACCGCATGTGATACTCTCTGGACACGCCCCACACGGTCCTCACTTCACTCGCCTGGCTGCTGAGTATCCCAAAGGATTCGCTCAGAAGTTCAGCCGGGTTTTGGAGAGATCATTTGAGGATAAGCGTGCTCGGAAGTTTTCTAAATATGCTGTTGACGTGGCTTATGGGAAATGAAGGTTATCTATTCGGCCTCCTCTTGTATATCAGTAAGGCGGCCAGTTCACCATACGGGTACGGGTGTGTGCTCTCGGCTTGGCGCTCCTCGGCATCGACGTATCGAAGTCACTGGCCTGGTCAGCCCCTCACACAAAAATGAGCCTGGCGGGAGGGAACGGTAGGCGAGCTGTCACATTTCACATGTTTAGGCATAGCCCATCCTGGATCCCGCCGCAACTGCCACGCTCAAGTCTTCCCTCCCTCCCTCCCCTCTCGCGTGCCGTTGTGTGGGTGTGTGTCTGTGCTGTGCCTCTCTCGCCTCTCTCTTCTCCTTTTAATGCTCAGCAAACCGTTACGCAATTTCTTATAGCAGGGTGTGTGCTCTCGGCTTGGCGCTCCTCGGCATCGACGTATCGAAGTCACTGGCCTGGTCAGCCCCTCACACAAAAATGAGCCTGGCGGGAGGGAACGGTAGGCGAGCTATATATATATATATATATATATATATATATATATATATATATAACCATGCGTATGTACATATGATGTTTGTATACACATCTGTACACATGCATACACTGAAGTTCCGGGCCTGGAACCCCAGTTCTCCTTTGATCTCCTTCTGCTCCAGGCGACGCGTCGTAGACGCCCCCAAAAACCCCCTTGCACGATTTTTGGGTTACCATATTAAACGGTGGCAGGTCCCACGACTAACCTTAAAGGAACTCCCGAGACAACCTGGCAGTATCCCCAACGGCACTTTGCGATGATAGATCCTCGAGCGCGACTAGAACCTAAGCGCGCGCGGAGCGCGCGTGGTTTTATCGATATACTGGACTGCATGGGCGCAGGGCGCCATGCACCTCCGTCCTTGAATTTTGGCATGCGGGCGGAAGGGCAGGAAGGGAACACAGACAATTTAGCGATAACCTCTTGTTATCTTTTTTCGGCATTGCCGTTATACCAACGTTATTCGTCATTATTCCCTCATGTTTCCTCTTCCGCTTCCTCTGTTTCGCTTTACCTTGCGAACTCTCCCCCGTCCTCTTTCTAGCTTTTTTTGCGGAGTCTCCTCATTGGGAGAATCTTTTGGGGGCCTCATGGCCTTCTGGAGGCCTCCTGGGCGCCTTCTGGTGGCCTCTGGGGGCTTCCTCGGGTCACCCTGCTTCCCATCTCGGTCCTCCTGAACGACAGGGTCACGATTTGGAATGCTTCGTGGGGCTTCTTGGGGCCATCTTTGGCCGTCATGGGGCTCTTTTCGGGCCATCTTGGAACTCTCCTGGACTGCACGGACGCCCTTTCGGATAGTTTTGGGGCGAGCCCTCTTGGGCTGTCTCGGACGCCCAGAAGACCGCAGAACAGAGCATTCTCAAATCATGCAAAATCAATCATGGAAAATCAATGTTTTTCGGCATTGCGAAAGCCTCTTGGGGGATCTTCTTTGGGTCGTCTTCGGGCATCTGCTGGGTGTCTGTGGCATCTTGGGGTCACTCACATACGAGGCTCCCGCTCGAGACTTCCTCCATGTTCAGATTTCAGGAGCCCAAAAGTGACGACAGTAACAGGGTTCGAGCCCTGAAACTTGAAGTGGGGGGCTCATAGGGAGGGGGCTCCCGGTCGATACTTCCTCGCAAGTCACTCACAGACGAGGCTCCCGCTCGAGACTTTTTCCATGTTCAGATCTCAGGAGCCCCAAAGTGACGACTATTACGAGGTTCGAATGACCGCCTCGGATTACTAACACGAGCTGGGTGCCCACAGGAAAGGGGCTCCCGCTCGATACTTTCTCGCAACTCACTTGCAGGATTCGCCAATAAACGAAGCTCCCGCTCGAGACTTCCTTGAGCTGCATGTGAGAGTGATGGTGGTGGTGATGAAGATGATGATGTTGTTGATGATGATGTTGATTGTGATGATGATGGTGACTATAAAGATGATGCTGATGCTGCTGCTGATAACGATGATGACGATGCTGATTATGAGATGGCGACGGAGTGATGATCGTGACGAGATGGTGATCGTAACGC